TTTCACTGGTAGGTATGTACTTCACATCTAATTCACCGCGTTCATACACTTCACGCACAAAATGATGGCGAATGTCTATGTGCTTTGTACGGGAGTGAAACACAGAGTTCTTTGTAATTTTCTGAGCTCCTTGATTGTCGCAGTATATTGTTGTTGGGGTGTTCTATGTTGTAACCCAGCTCCTTCAGGAAACGACGTAGGTAGACGGTTTCTTTGGCGGCCTCAGACAGAGCCATATATTCCGCCTCCGTTGAAGATAGAGCTACACTGCGTTGTTTTCGTGATTCCCAGGTTATGGCTGAACCACTTAATATATATACAAAACCGGTGTAGGATTTTCTATCATCGACATTTGATGCCCAATCTGCATCCACAAAGGCGATGAGTGGTTTTCCTGTTTTCGTATAAATTAGTCCTTGATCTTGTGTTCCCTTTAGATATCGAAGTATTCTTTTCGCAGCATGCCAATGTTCTTTTCCCGGATTGTTGTTAAATTGACTTAAGAAATTCACGGCGTATGTGATATCTGGCCTAGTAGCTACTGAAAGGTACATTAGTGATCCGATCAGATTTCTAAATGGAACATTTTTCATGTCAGCGATTTCGTTTTCGTTTTTAGGACTCATCTCTTTTGATAATTTTTTTGCTGTTATCTATAGGTGAAGACACGGATTTAGCATTTTGCATATTATACCGATTTAAAATATCATCAACGTATTTCTTTTGAGAAATTTTAATTGAATTCTCATTTTGGTAAAATTCTATTCCTAAGCAATAATGTAATTTCCCCAAGTCTTTCATTTTGAAAGCAGAAGCTAAACTATCGCGAATTGTTTCATACGTTTGCTTAGAATCGGTAAAAACGATAAGATCGTCTACATAAACGATTATAATAGTTTCACTGTTAGGCGTCTTTTTATAAACACAATTATCTGAATTAAGAGATTTAAATTTCATAGATTTCAATTTTTCATCCAACTTTTGTACCACTGACGTCCTGACTGTTTAAGACCGTATAATGATCTCTTTAAAAGACACACTTTATCTGAATTAGTTTCATCGCGAAAACCTTCGGGAATTTCCATGTAGATTTCTTCATCTAAATTTCCATTTACATAGGCCATTACAAAATCTAATTGGTAACCTTTGAGATTGTGTTCTACTGCGTAGGCTAAAACTGTTCTTATGGAACTTAATCTAGCAACAGGGGAAAAGTTTTCAGTGAAATCGAGACCAGGGATTTGAGCGCACCCTTTAGCAACTAGCCTAGCTTTGTATTTTTCGATAGTGCCGTCGTGATTATATTTTAATTTAAGAACCCATTTGCTACCAATAACTTTCTTGTTTTCAGGTCTTTTTACTAATTCCCAAGCCTTTTCTTGAACAAGCGAGTTATATTCTAACAGCATGGCATTATGCCAATTTTCAGCATATGGTCCATTTAATGCTTCTTGCACCGTAGGATTAATGCTTTCCTCAACAACATTTTGAGTTTGTTCATTTTTATTTACAACTGTATAGTGATATTCCTTTTTAGGCCTTCCTGGCAAACCTGTTTTTATTTTCTTGGGTCGACCAGGCCCCCTTTTAATCAGGATAGGAAGCATTGATTCGCTATCTAAATCACTTCCGCTTTCCTTTTCAGAGCTTCAGAGTGAAGTGGCGACTCGCTACCGTCCAGAGGTGATGATTCATCACAACATGTTTTATTTATAATTTTTTCCTCCGGAGCGAAAGGCAGATTTATTTCTTGCTCTGAGTCATAACTACAGCAGTTTTCAAACTCATTAATAAATTTTACGTCTCTGCTTATTATCACTTTACGTGCCTCGGGATCCCAAAGTCTATACGCTTTTGATTCATCAGAATAGCCAATAAAAATACATTCTTTAGATCGAATATCAAATTTGCCTATTCCTGGCCTTTTATTTAGCGAAAATGCTTTTTGGCCAAAGGTTCTGAAGTGAGAGACAGCAGGTACTCTGCCAAACATCACTTCGTAAGGTGTTTTTATTTCGTGTTTTAAACCTCGCGTTGGGCAGCGATTTCGAATGTAAGCAGCCGTATTGACGGCTTCGGCCCAGAATTTCTGAGGCAGATTGGATTGCAATAACAAACATCGCGCCATTGAAACTAAAGTGCGATTTAATCTTTCGGCGACGCCATTCTGGGCTGGCGTGTAAGGAGTGCTCATTTCGTGTTTTTTTATTCCCGCATCATTAAGAAATTTATTAAAGTCTTTCCCTAAATATTCTAGCCCGTTATCGGTTCGCAGGATTCTGATTTTAGAGTTAAGTTTATTTTCAAAAGATGCTTTAAAATTTTCTGAAAGCTTCTTTAACCTCATCCTTAGATTTCAGAAAATAAACACGAACATATCGAGATTTATCATCAATAAATGTTGCGAAATAAAATGATCCACCGATTGATTCAGTTCTCATGGGACCACACAAATCAGAATGAATTAGATTCAACAATTCAGTACTTCTATATTCAGATTCTTTGGGAAGAGGGGTTGCGGTTTGTTTACCCTGAATGCATACCTTACAAGTAGAAAGAGAGTCATTTTGAGAAAAAGAAAGACCTCTAACCATGTTATTTATTTGAAGTTTTTTAAGATCATTTTCATTTAAATGGCCAAATCTTATATGCCACTGATCTATTTCTTTAGCAATTGATACAGATTCAAATATTGGCATGACAAAATAAAGATCATTTTCGCGTTTAGCTAAAATTACTGTTTCGTTATTAGAATTAATTATTTGAGCACATTTTTCTTTGAAAATTACTGAAAGATTATTTCAGTTACTTTAGACACTGAGATTAAATTATTTTTCAAATCAGGTACACACAATACATTTTTGAGTTTGATATTTTCAGTTTTAGAACCTATGCGAACTTTAAATTTACAGTTCCTTTTCCAATAGCTTTAACAGTTTTATCAGCAGCTAATTTAACATAAGTATCACCTACCTCGTGAATTTCTTGAAACAGTTCCTTGCTGTTACACATATGCGATGTTGCACCACTATCCAGACAAAAAATGTCTTTAGAATTACTATAGTGTCATGCTACGCGGCTTTTTCTTGCTCCAAGGAATTCTGATATTCTGCAAGACATCGCAGTTTCACTGAGGCGTTTGCTTTTAGTTTCTTTATTTTTTTCTTCCTACATTCCGATGCTCTATGCCCATAGATATGGCAGAAGTTGCATCTGTAGTTAACTGGATACTGTCTTCGGTTTGCAGACTTATCTGGTTTCGGTTTAGGAATCGGTCGTTGAGTATACTTCCGATCTTTTCGAATAAACGCATGTTTGTGGTTCAGAAACGATGAATCTTTATTTTTGCGAGCGTTAGCTTCTTCCAACAGTTTAATTTTCAGCATTTCTGGAGAAGGCAGTTCATCACGAGATTCGATTGCTATTCGAAAGCTTTCATAAGAGTCCGGTATGCTATAAAAGCAATATTGTAAGCAAATCATCCGCAATGTTTATTTCCATTTCTTTCAGTTTGTCCACAAGAATGAAAAATCATTTAGATGAACAGTCATTTGTTTAGAATCACTCATTTTTGTAAAAAGCATTTTTTTTTAGAATTGTGGCCTTTCTAGCTGGTCCCTTCGATTCGTAAATAGAATGCAATTTACGCCACAGTTCGTGGAGATGTTACACAATTCTTTACTTGTGGAAGTTCACTGGGTAAGATGGATAGGATTATATCCCTCGTGCCTTTTGGTCAGTAGTTTTCCATTTAGCAAATTCTTCATCACCAGGTTCTGGTTTCGGAATTTTTCCCTTACATAGTCCCATGATCATTTTTAATCAGTATTGCTTCCATTTGCAACTTCCCACGTATCAAAGTTGTCCTTGTTTTAGCTTTTCAATTGACACTGTATTATCGTCGCCATTTTCATTTAGTCATCATCGACGCAGCTTGGCTTGCCGAAAGAATTTAACAATGGTAGTTGGCACTGCACAGTTAAGCGCTATCTGGGCCCATAACCTATGAAGAATAAAATGACGTCTTCTATATACATGACAAACATTTATTTAAACTACGAAGACGTTTGAACAGCAGAGTAGAAACATGATATTACACAGCGCTTGCCCTTCTCTCTTACATGCATACTCACCATTGACTTTGGCTAACTGCCTACTAAGTATAAGTATTACGCAGCAGAGAACTTGCTTATCATGCGCATGCGCTAGGGGAATCGACGTCGGTTGCCAACAACCCCTTTTGAGCTAAAAATGTGGGGAGTAATAGCAGTGATAGCAAATTAATGTTTTTTAAAAGTTTATTCATTTATTTTATTTTTAGCAGTGTGCCATGTAATTGTACGCAATCAGAAATATAAACATTGTGCGGTAAAAGACAAAACGTTTTAATAACTTTTTTTTTATTTTTGCGAGCTTGAATTCAACAGCACTATCCAAGTCCTTTTATAAGTATTGTTCTTTAATGGAATTTATTATTCAGTTTTTCACATCTAGTGATGCATATTCTTCCGATATGTGTAATTTTTTTTAAATAATGATTTGATTTAAACGTTCAAAAGAACTTATTAATCAGATTAAACCGTATGAAAAATCAGGTAAATTGTTAAAATTTATTTTTCTGTTAAATTATAATATGAGTATTATCTATATTAATGCGTTGTTTTTAATTGTCCTTGTGAGTTTAATTAGAGTGACTTCTTTCCTATATATATATACTTCTTCTATACATTAGAGGAAGAAGTCCACTCGTATTATATAATATATATATATATATATATAATTGAATTCCTTTTGTCTGCCTTTATCTATAGTTAATGTCTAGAGCTTTCCTTAATCAGTCATTTTAGATATTGGCCTCTTGCTGAACAATGCTGCTGTGGGAAGCGCTATCGCTGTTGAATTAACAGCCCTCAAGAATCAGCGAGGTGATAGCGGCTCTGGTACTTCTCGTATCTTGATGGCACCCGTTAGACATACACTAACGGATGTTGTTCAGTCTAATCGTAGACCGGTACGTTTACATCGTGCTTTATGATTGTGTTCATTGTGACACCTCTCATCGAAATCATCCTTTACGATGGCTACTATTGTGTCTGTGTTGGCTTCTGTATAAAGTGTGTACTTAACGTTCAAACTGAATTCTTTCAGCGCCATTATTTTCTTTTAGATAAAAGACGTAAAAACAACACACACGCACTGTATATATATGTCTTTGTGATTGTAATAATACTTATATACATGGTTTATTTCAAAGTTGGTTTTCTAACATCCGTTTTGTGATAAAGGACATTAAACAGATTTTCGTGTTTCTGATAACTTGTGTTTTTTTAGCTTTAGAGAAAGGAAATATATACAGTGAAACCTCGATTTATAATTTTTCAATAAAAATGAGGGAAAATAGTATGAATGCAGGAAGACCGTTAAGCCGGAAAACTGTTGCACTTTGTACATAAGAAGCATATCATAAATAAATAATATATTTTACTTTCAGTATCTGAATTTTGCCATAGTGGAAAATACCACTTTTCGTAGCTCAAGATATTTTCATAGTAGGCGTCACTTTGCGTATAAAAAACTTTTTGTAAATTGAAATTCGGTATCTTGTCTTGTTAATTTTCGCCATTATTTTCCTCCATTTCGCTATGGACTTAAAGTGAAAACAGCTCTGAGAACCCTGAAACCTAGCGGAATGTTACTTTATGTTATTTGAATATGTCATGAGAGCTATCTGCCTAAGATAAGGGATGGCTTCATGGAGGACTTTCTGAGGGAAACTGGCTCGTATTCACGTTATACATGAAAAAAACCACAAAAACCATGCAGCCAACCCGATCACCTGAGATTGAACCTAAGCCGAGTGAAATCTAATGGGAATAAAATTTATGAAAATTAACAGAAATCAACTTGCACTATTTGGAAATAAGCGAAGCTGAAAGTTAGTTAAATGTTATTTCTTTACTGTATTGAGATCCAAGAAAAGGTAACTTAAGCAATAAATACATATTTCACGTTAGTTTTTTTCTTTCTACAAGCAGTCCATGCGGGAAATTCTGCGCCGGGAGCGTGATTTACCGACATTATTGCGATAAAACAGTTGTTCCGGGAACGATGGATGACTTATATAAAAATTAATTCAGGATCAAAAGTGTCGAATCGTGGACAAGAGAAAAACGATCGTCACGGGAACGATAAATCAAGGTTCTACTGTACATGTAATTAGAAATGAAATTTTTTTTTCAGCGCAGTAGATTCTTTAAATGATTGTATTCTTTTTCACTTTTATCAGTTTCGAATGACATACTTTTGATAATGCGTGATGTCTAAACTTGGTTGTAAATTATCCCTGCTGCAATTTCACACCTTAAAACTGATTTTTGTTTCTTGGTAGCTAATAATAGAAAATATATTAAAATTCATATCCATGTTTGTTTGTTTCATAAAATAATAAATTATATAATTCATATTTGATTGAAGCTTGTAGGTATTGTTATTCTTTCTGGAACATACACGTGAAAAATCAATTGTGTCCTCGTCAGATCCATGGAAGATCCATGGTTATATGCATCTTCCACTCGAGTTGTTGACCCGCTTATACCACAAACGCACGTTGCGGGATGTGTGTGATAATTTCTTTCAAGCTGTATTAAAATAAGTGTGATCCAAATCCTTTTCAGATGCTTAATTTGAAAGCTCGAGCATCGTAATCTGTGATATTCTATACCAAAAATTTATCCTGTTTACTATTAACCTTTTCTTTACTAAAGTTTTAGTAAAATCTCTAATGTTTATTAAATTAGGATTGATACAAAAGTCCTCAGAGAAATAACAATATGTATTCAAAGAAATAACAATAGCATGTATTACTGTTTTTAATGCTTGCACTCTGTTATTTTTTATCATTAAGTTAATCTCTATATTTTGTGTCGTATTGTGTCGGATAATGGAAGTGCTGAAGTATAACATTTATAGCATTATTTGTTGCATATATCTCATTTACAGGCGAAGCATTACATTTTTCTTTATAGCTTCAGCTGAATTATTTGCTGCCGAAATAAAAGTTTGTGCATTACATTAATAATTGCACACCATATTAATAATTATTAGGAATTCAAAAATTGTGTCTTTGATAATGCATATCAGCTTAATCTCTTTATTTCGATTGCATAATAACACAAGTATGAAAAAATCCGAAATGTTTAGCATCACTTAAATTCGCTTATCATTTAGTTCCATGTATTAAATTCATATATAGTTATATCGAAGCTTAGAGACTTGAATCTTTAGCTTTGAGGTCGATTAAATTCGAATTTCTTTTATTAAGGTTTCATAAATTTCACTTTTAAAAAGATTTCTGAAATAATTCTAATGTGAGTGTTTGTAAATTTTCCTGAATTTAAATGTATATGGTTATCTATGGAATTATCAAAAATATCGGATCTCTTTGTCGGATTTTGTGTTTGCTTTTCTAATACAGCAAAAGGCTTGAAGCGGCTTATATCAGATCTGTTGTGTTTATGCTAAAAATTTAGATTTACAGTAAAAGGAGTTAGAACATTTGAATGATTTTATTTATGATCCAGTGGTTAGAAGATTTGAACTATGACGTGGTTACGAACAGCGTGGCCAAAGGATTCATTATTTCCTTTAGCAACGTATCATGTATTCATACGGCCTTTAACCGGACACGTACAGTTGTGGAAGCATTAGTAGTAAAGCAATAAATGTCCCAACGAAGACCTATATTTATTCCTGCAAGCGGAGGATCTTCGATAATTGACAGCAATAAATATACATAACATATAAGCAATATGTACATTGTGTTTGGAAAGTCCCTGAGTAATAAAATATTACGAAGCACGTTGTAGATTTGCCTAAACGCATGCTGGAAAGTTCCTCTTGGGTTTCGGGGCCCACCAGCGGCCGAGCGGTAAAGTCGCTGAACGCTGGTAGTTCGGTCCGAGTTCGAATCCCGCGAACGGGCAGGCTGCATGGGCGTTTTCGTGGTTTTCCCCATGTGTAACGTGTATACGAGCCAGTTTTCCGTAGAAAGTCCTCCACGAAGGCATCCCTCAGGCAGATAGCCCTAGTGTGCTATAGTGTACAGGCAGATACAGGCAGATAGCCCTAGTGTGTTTGCCATAATCTCAATAAACCAAACCAATCCTCTTGGGGTTCTAAACTTGTTGAAGATTTGCAGAATAGTGTTATTGACGAAATAACGTTATTATCGTTTAATGTCAATCAGCTTGTATTTGAGTCAGATTGTATTCAGCACTTGTCAAGTTAGTCAGTCAGATTATATTGTATTTAGGATATGCAAAAATGTAGCGGTCTTATGTTGTGAGAATTCTGTGTTCACTAATAATGCATATCTTTAAGCCTATTAAGAACATTCAAAATCTACCTTAGGAAGAACTGTTATGTGACAACATCATATCTTACTACAGGAGGATTACTTTGATAATAATTAAGAAATATGCACACAATTAAAATATATTGTGCAAGTAAATGCGATGATTCCTTTTTTTTCCTCTTAAAATGTTTGAAAAAGATGACTTCGATGCTTAATTCTTTTTTTCAATGTTTGTTTTAACTTCAACGCTGTATCGTTTTCTAACACGAATTCGTAGAAGTCATTGGATCACTATTTGTAATCTGTACATTCGAGGGATTATGTTTAGAAATATATTTCTTTCAAAGTTTCATATTATAGGGCCCTAATTGTGTAATACTAACTCAAAGTACTTCAGATCCTATTAGACTGACAAGCGAATTATCGCAAAAAAATATGGTAACAAAGTCTAAGAAGATTTTAAATAGACTTTCTCTTGCTTTTCAAATGAACAGAAAGCATAACTTGTGCGTGCAAACAAACTATGCCACTTGTAGGTATTAAAATAACAAAGTTAAAAATTCAGATGGAAGGTATCGTACTCGGAGATTACACAATTGGCTCAAAAGTTTGATGGCATGTATTAACTTCGGTTAACAAAATTTCCGAAGCCGGAATATTTTTTTTATGGCGGGAAGTAGCCATTTTTTTAGGCTTTGGCCACTACTACGGCCAGAAGACTTCTATTTAATTTGTATCCTGGTGAGGGCTACGGAAAAGAGAAGTTATAGTAAAGGTTTAAATCATAATATTTGGTTAATTAATATAAAAGACCTTACAATATCAAGAAAAAAGACAGTGATTAGATACTTTTAATAATAATAAAACTTTTATGACTAAAGTTGCTTCCGTTCTAAATGTTATATGGAGAAGGATTTTTTATTTTAATAAAAATGTCTATCTAAGAATGTTTTAATAATTTAATCTTTGAATTCGAATTTTTTAAAAATGTAATGTTTGAAATGTAAGTGTACTTTAAATTTCCGAAGCACTTTTCCGATAGGCTTTCAGAAATGCCTCGGTATTCATTCTTTTAAAAATATAATATATATATATATTTTATATATATCTATATATATATATTATATATATATTTTATACTGTTTTATATCATAGGTTGTCATTGGAGGCTCTGTGCTGGATATTCACGTGAAGGCCTTGGAAGACATTCAAGTAAGAAATTTCTTAGGATTTTCAGCATTGTATGAGAGTGAACACGCTGAAATTTGGTACATCTAGGTATCCACAGATAAAGTAATTCAATGCGGAAAAATTATTTGTAAATGTTTCGTAGCAGTTGTTCACCTTTTAAATAAATTATTTAGATTACTGGAGCACACTTCTGCCTCTGCAGTTGAAGTGAATATATGTTCATACCCGGGCAGTGGTTAAATATGCTTGCGATACCTTTTGATTTAATCAATCTAAAAAATAGTTCCCATCCTGTACAGTATGTTCCCATCGTTCTGATAAAACGCAAGAAAATATTTTGATATTTCTTTCGCAAATTTGCTATGTCCAGGCACATTTTACTGTCTGAGAAATATTTTATAGATAAATCCTTGGAAAAAAATTTATTTGGTTTCCAATTAATTACTCAAGCGTATTGGAAAACGTCGCTCTCGCAGTCGCTTATTATTGCTTGGAAAAGTCGTCCCTTATTATTGCACTGTGGGTTTTTGTTGTGGAAGAAATCTGTATGTAGGCAGGCTAGTTTATTACTCCTGTTCGCTGACTGCGCAGTTAACTGTAATATAATACGTGCAATATGTAATTTAATGTGCTTTTTAAAAAAAATTGCAAAAATTTGGAAGATCCAGCATTGTAGAGAAATAACAAGATGTAGTCGGTATATTCATTCTAAAGCTATGTCTGGAATCTCGTGTTGCTCAGTATATGTATCTGAGCCATGGCAGAAATATCTATCTGTTGTATGTAAGGCAGACTTCAGATGTGAGCATCTAAATATTTTTTCACTTTTCTTTCAATATTTGTCTAATTGTAATTTAACTGTTTCATTCATTCTCATTATTTACTTGAAGCAACCTCACCGTTGATATGTCAAGGAAAGATTTTTCGTATTCATATCAGTATCCTGATATGTTTATTCACCGTTAATATGCCAAGATTTGCATGATGGTCAATAATTGATGCAAACTATTTTTGAATAGAAATATGAGAGAGAAGATCTCTTCTCTCTCAGCAGGGTTTAGTGCTTTAAAAAGTAATTTTTATAGACGCTAGAAATTAGCAAATGTTCTCTTTTGTGTTAATGAGTGAATAAAAGAAATGTTGTGGCACAGTTCCTGGTGATTTTAATGGTAGTGATGAGACTAATATGTTACTATGTTACAGCACATCTAACCCTGCAGTAAATGGAATTGCATAGCCGAAGACCGCTGCATTACTGCTCCCTGTGCACCTTAGATTCATCGTCAAAAGCGGCTGTTATAAGTAAATGAATATCCGAACTGGACCTTAAATGTTTGGCATCACTTGATTCTATAAATCTTGTTTTCTAGGACAAAGATATTTGGTACCGTGCAGAGAGCTGGATATGCATCTGTCTTTTTCTTGAGGAAAAGCTGGAAAACAATGACTCAGATAAAAATAAATCAATATTTAAGGTACGAATAATATTAATTTAGAAAACCTTTATCCACTCACAAATACCTAACAGATTTTGAGATCAGCTTCTTGCTTAAATACTGCTGCAGATTAGATGATTCTTTTCATGGCAATGATTTCTATCGGTATCTTCTTCAGCAAGTTAATTCTCTGAACCGAATTGTTGCAACCGAATGAGAACGGATTTGGGGTCGTGAGGAAGCGTTCTAGGTATTGCCATGGCTTTCGAGTTTCCCAAACGCCAGTCCAATAGAACATCTTTAGGGATCATTGAAGCAGTAAATCCTGTATCAGACAATTAATTTAAAGGATTAATTTTTAAAGGAGTTTGAGGCTTTTCAGGGATAATCTGCTTGTACCAGATATCACGAGTTAAATTATCTTGCAACTTTATTGGTTGAGAGCTGCTTTGGAGCAGTTGCAAGAACATAATTAGCTTTTAATTATTACACCATAATCGTAAATAGCCATACTGTTTGGGCTGTAATTTTGTTTGTTATAGAACTTTGTTTTACTGCATTATTTGAAGAGAATTTAATTGGTTGAAGATAAGGAATAATTTGGATTCTGATAATTTTATATTAATTTTACTTTGCACTAAAAATGAATATTGGGTTTTCATTATTAATAAGTTATATTATTTTACCCAGCTAATAAATAATAAATAGTCAAATTAAATTAAAGTTTGAACAATTTTGTTGAATGTTTACTACTCCAAAAATTTCGTAAGTGAATGATCTATAGCTGTAAAACTGATTTATCTTTGTAATTTACAGAATTATGGACATTAAATTTTATGGTATATATATGCACTTAAATAAATTATGTATCAAATAAAAAACAATTCTTTATTTAAACTATTATTCAATTTTCGTGTTTATGTTTATTTAATTGGTCTACCGATTGATTTTTACTATGTAATATCACTATGCATTTTGGTTTCATGACCATGAAGGATCATTAATAAGTTAGTTAGTTCCCGAGTTTTGTACGAGGTGAAAAATTACTTGTCATAACTAAACGAATGCTCGAATTGTAGTTTATGATGAAAACAAGAATGTGTTATAAAACGATCTTTAAGTCATGCAATTTCTGGAATGTATAGGAGGAAATAGTTTTCTGTGTTAATATTGTGCATTATTTATTATCTGTGATTGACTGAGAAACTGAGATATGATTTTTCTAGTTTTCGTTAAAAGAGCGTGTTTTTTTAATCAAATAAAACATTTTCCATTTATTAGTGATTAGGTGAAAGATCCTTCTTAAATTTATCTAGTTAATTAACTTTTACTTTCTGATATAATTAAATCCTTAGTCTAATAAAATAGAATTAATAGCAAATGCGCTGTTTTTATTAATCTATCTCACTTTCAAAAGTTTAAATAAATAAAAGGTTTTAAATAAAATGTTATATGCAAATTTACAGTGCTTCAGATTTTACCCTTAGCTTTTTAAACCTGAATTAAAAAATAAGATAAATGAAATATAGATTATGGCCTTAACAATTATGCTGTTAAATATTTTCTTATCAATAATGTTTCGCCAACATTTCCCATTCTTCTAAGATTCGTAACTTAATTGATAAGTCATTCAGCATAAAATCACCACATTTTCGGAAATGGAAAAATACGTTTCGCTTTGTGTAAGTGTCATTCTATTAAATGCAACTACGAGTTCAGTAAAATATCTCCTACGCCAAATCTAGCCTAACTCTCAGAACTTCACTTGTGACATGAACTTATTAATGAGCAAAGTGTGCCATAAATATCCATCTCAAGTTTAATGAGCCGCCATTTAGTTGCTTCCCGAGTTCAATGAGGCTAACGAAAATGTCGGTTTTAGTCTCAAGCTTATTCTATGGTACTTCATTTGTTGAGAGAGTATGAGTATATTTTGATATTATCTGGAAGAAGTGCGCAAAACCTTCTGCTTAAAGGATGTGTGGTTTAAATCTATCTACAGATGAACAAAGAAGAGTAAACATAACAGCTATTTTTTAAGAAGGCATTTAAAACTGAATGCTTTGGAATATTAATGTAGGAAAAAACAAGAATAAATTAGCAACAAATCATTTTTAAATGACTACGTCTTCTTAATATATACCTATTTTACGTTGTATAAAACGTATCCTTATTTTTTATTGTTAAGATTCACTTATTTGTTTTTTATTTACGCATTTCTTTAGAATTTTGCGTCTGTTGTTTGAATTTTATAGAAGTTCTTACGTCATGCTTGGCATTAAGATCCTGTCAATAACTGCGTTAAAATCAGAATTATGTACTCTATCCTAATTAAGCTAAGGAAATGTTAAAAGTGATTACTATTTCATTCTTCATAACAGCTCTAACGTCACGTACACTGAGAGAAACAGCTATAAAATTTGGCGACCAATTCGTAATGATTAGTAAATATGGTTACCTTCTGTTACAGAAGCTTTGGAAATTAGTGTGGTTCTGAATTTCGGATTTCTAATGTTTCAACTGATAATGAGTCTACGAATAGTTTTTAATTTCCTCTGTTGGTCGGTTTAGATCAAGGAGAGAAGTCGTGTAGCATTTCTTTATTTTATCAAATTTGCAGTAATTGCATTGTTCCATAATTTTCATTTGAAAGAAATTCAATGCTTAAGATCGATTCTCTTTATATTTTCGCAGATCAATCAGAGAACCAATCAGAGAGACCAATCAGAGAACGATTTCGTATTGTCGTCATCTCTCTGTTTATTAGCTTCAGTATTGGATTTTTACTGATACTTTATCAGATTTCTTTTTAATGTTTTTTTATCAGCTTTCAGTGATTTGCTGTGCTTTTAGTTTTATTTCGGTTTGTAGTTCCAGTCCTATTTTCTTTGTCTTGGGAGTTTTTATTGAAGACAAAAATTCCTTTGCATTATACTTTAGGAGTTACTCTTTTTAGGAAGTTCTTTATTTTTACCTTGTCCTGGAAACATAGGACAACTTTTGTGGTTTCAACATACTCCCTAGAGTATGAAGCATATTTGAAGCGAATTTCAACACTTATTTATTTTCTCTTGAACTAACGTTATCACGTTTTGTTTATTATTTTTTTATTGCTATTTTCTGTAGAAACAATTTAATCCTCTCATAGCTCAATTCGTTTTTACAAGACCGCTTTAAAAATTGCGTATTTTTTATTTAAGAATACGCAATTCAATACGCAAAATTTGAATACGTAATTAGATTTTTTTTTATTGCGTATTGTTTGTTTGAAATCTACATACCGATTCGCGAACTTTATGCACATACGCTAAATCCTTGCCGAACGCGATTTCGCGTATATGTGTTTTCTGAATCTTCTCTATTTAATTTGCCCAATGCCAGAATTTAAGTTATAAACGGTATGCTGCAGAGTGTTCGCAATAGTCCTTGTCAATGACTGGTTTGATAATTTATTCTTTGAAGAAGTAAAATATCACTTAGAACAGCAAAATAAATCTTTAATGTTCTCTTACTTCTCAGTTCTGTTGTAGGATACGGTACTGAAGCCCTCACTGCATTGCATCCAAATGTAGAGATTTTATTCCTTCCACCGAACACCACTTTCTTAATCCAGCCAATGGTTCAAGGAATCATAAAAAACATCCAAAGCCTGTTATATCAGGAATCATTGCATCTGTGCAAATAAAGCACTGGACAAAGGAAAGAAGGACATACTAATGGCATTTCGGAAGCAATTCAACATAAAACTGCATAAAAATGATTAAAATGACATGGAAACAAATACATTTATCAACAATAAATACTTGTTGGCATCAGCTAAAAGATTTCCATTGACTGAAAATGAAGCTAAGGAAATCGTAGAAACTTACCTACTTATCAAGCAATAATAGAAATCCTTTTAATTAACATTTGTTTAGTTCCTGCTTTTAATTACAATAATAAGTTTACATAAATGACACATGCTTTCTTAATCTGAAAAATACCTAACCCGTTTTTTTTTTTTTTTTTTTTTTTTTTTATTGCATATAAAGTTAACTTTGCGGAATGATTTTCTCGTACACACAATGTGTTAATGACGTAACGCCCCGCGTTCGGTAATAGTGTACTGCATATGAAATTTAGTGAGAAGTCAAACTCATCTGTTAAGCAAAATGTGATATAAAGTCTAAACACAGCACATAACGCATTAACGGCGTTTAAACATTCGAACAGGATGATACATTTTTAATAGATGTAACAAACGCATGGCCACGGACCTGGAGGGACGACCCAGTTTTGCTACATTTATGTTGCCTATGGAAATCTCGAGATAAACAGTCGGGGGTTAAAACATGAATTTTATACGCATGCAAAAAACGGCAAAAATTGAAATTGCGTGAGATTTATCGGCACAGGAAAAATATAATAATTAGTATACCGGGTTGGAGAGAAAGAAAGGAAATAAAGTAGAAATTTCCTACATCAAAATAATTTTTTGGCATTCACGACTGGATAACAATGTTAGATCATTTAAAAATTTCAGCTATAAATTACGTGCATGATGAAAAGTGAAAGCACCAATAAATGTTTAGAAATAATTTGTTATAAGCCATTAATTTGTCACCTCTGTTTATGCAATTTTTATGTTGTAAATCGTTAAATTACAATCATTAGGAGAGATGTACACTATCATTATTTCTAACCCATTCTTCCGTACGTCGTCGCATGGAATCATACAGGTCCCTCCTGCAGTCCTCCATAAGCTCATTTTCTGCCCACTGGCCTTTGGCTTGTTGTTGCAGATTTTGTGACAGCGGTGAGGTCTTGACAGTGCGGTCTATAATATCCCAGAGGTTTTCTATAAGTGATAAAATTGGCGATACGGCTGGTTAGGGCACAGTGCACATGGCTGCAAGATAAGCCCTTTAAGATTCTAGCAATGTGAGAATGAAAACAAGCGTTGTACTGTTGGAATAGAGCTCTGGGCCTGGCGTTCACAAACGGCAGGGCTTTTGGTCGAAGGACCTCATCAGCGTACGTTTGGGATGTCAAAGTGCCTGTAACGAAGTCCAACGATGATCGTACGTCATATGAAGTTTTCCTTCATCTACGACAGTCATCGGACATGCGACGTGCCAACGAAACTTTCATTCTGGTGCTGACCACCTTTCCTGTAGATGTGGGTGCGTTGATCGTTCGCAATAAAACAAAAGCGAAAATCCTCATTAAAAATGCCGACTGCCATTCAGGCTGGCTCCATAATATCGTTTCGCGACAACATTGCAGCTTGTGGTTCCGCTGATGTGGTGTCGTGGTTAGTCGTCGTAATAATATATATGCCTGTAATATAGCGTCATGCGACCGTCTGTTAATGGAACTGGCACTCACAGAATGCTGCAGAAAGAAAGTCATTTGCTTGATGAATATTTCCAACTGTAACGAATAGATCTGTTCACACATGTCGACCAATCCTTAAGGTTTTCTTCATTGTGTCTGGAGGTCTTCCAGAGCTTGCATGCCATGATTTGGTATCTTTATGAATTAAATGCTCCTAACAGCGTGCAATATTAAACTCCGCATGTCAGATATGGCGCCCAAAACAATAAAATAGCTTTACGCAGTCCCGCGACACAATCTTTCTCGAAATACCCCTCAGTTGCTCAAATTACTGATGAATTCGTTTTAAAGTCGTAGTGTACTTTAAACCTTTCGACACAACAAACATTAGTCAGAATAAAAAGTGAGCACACCGAGACATGTGACATGTGATATGTATCAGATGTGGTGATAAACCTCTCCCTTGCTGATGTCATTTCTGCTTGGCGTTCTTCGTTGCAAGCGGAGAACACTTGGATACGGCTTTTGTTTTATTCCACCGGCTTTGCTGTTGCCAACACAACAAGCAGATTATCTCTTGAACATGCAGTCCTCTATTTTATCCATTTAGATTTCTATACGTTTTTTTTTTTTTTTTTTTTTTTTTTTTTTTTGTTTTGTTTTGTTTTTTGTAAAAGGTGTTGATTTACAAGACATTGAAAACAAAGCGCAGTTTTAAAACACATACTTAAATTGAAAACATTCGCAACTCATTTAATTGGGGACTTTTCATGATGGGCTATATACTATTTTGAAGACACTGGTTTATTTGCTTAATCGATGCTACAAGTAAATCAATAATATGGATCTGGTTTTAAATCACTATACTGTGCTTTATGGTGATCCTTTAGTTTTTATGCCAAAAATAAGTCTCTTAGTTTTAATGCTACCGATTACGAATACTCTTGTTAGTTTTTATGCCAAATAAATTTGTTAGTTTTCATGTCAAAATAGTTGGAAATGCTCATATTGTGACTTGAAGGGTGGACGAGCGAGGTAACTTTGCTCAGTGTTAATGACACCAGCGCCTTTAACCTGTCTCTTCGCATGAAGATGACAATTATACATCAACTGTACTATATTGTAATATGCACAATTTAAATCTATGGTAATTGTTCATTGCGATTTTTTGCGAATTTTTAATGTAGCAAGCGAATTTTTATGTTATGCGATTTTTGCGAATTTTTATGTTATGTACTAGGTGAATTTTTATGTAGCGTACTAGGTGAATTTTTATGTAGCGTACTAGGTGTTAGGGGATTTTTTGTTCCTATCATTATTACAGCACCAGACATGATCCAACGTTACGGGGATGGGAACAGAATATCTGAAAGGCAATCACGGAGCTCATATTGAAATTTATTAATTACATGATAAAAAAACGAAGTTAAAAAAACAGAAACTTTCATGTTTATTTTGCAATAAAGTTGCTAAACTGTCTCGAACACTTTTTCTAATTAAACAATTTAAAATGAAGCCCATCGTTTTCCATGACCCCATATTTCTGTTTCTGACCAATTCAGTTAAGTTGGAAGAGCTAGTGGGATCAGTGAAATATATTTTTTGCTTATGTTCGTGGTGCATCATCATGTTTCTATTATTTTATGTAATATACTTTTTACTGAATATATGGAAATTTATTATATGGGAAAACATAGGAAAAAAGACATAATGAAACACACAGTTTGATATAGATAACTTTATTTAGATTTTGCACGAACTGTGAAGTTCTTTTATTTGGTTATATGTTACATCTCACCCTTTTTCACTGCATCACGTTCAATCCAAGCTCTTTGTTGGGGGGTTATCTGGAATGCTAATCGAAAGACCACTTTTCAGTGGGTGGGTGCGAGAGCCGCTCTCGAAATGAGCAAATAAAATTTAATCCTATTATTTTATTTTTAAAATTATTTTTGTGTTAAAGTGATAATATCTTGATTATTGTACTTTTTGGGTTTTAATATAAAATTTAGACTGTTGTTTTAGAGGCAAAAATTAATGACCGAGAGCAACTCTCTATCACCCCATTTATATGGATATCATCTGGCATCTTCCTACTTCTTCAGTTTTATAGGCTGCTCATCAGTCACTATGAAGGCCACAGTTTTTGTAACGTTTCGTGCCGCAGCATCTTCACTTTTTTTTTTTTTTTTTTTTTGTATATAGGCTGTAATATTCTATTATTTACAAAGGCCTTATATATATATATATATATTTCTGTATATAGAGAGATATATGTAGCGTATGTATAGAATGTGTGTTTCCTAGAACACAAGTCTCGAAAAAAATCATGTAGGATTTTCGGATCTTCAGATCCTTGCCTTTGTGCCCTTACTCGTACTTTGACACTTTGCTACGAAGTGAGTCATGGTTATGTGTTGCCATTTTCCGGTTAAAAGTTTTCCAAACCGATGATACAAATCATAGTATTTACTTATATTATTTCGATATGTTGCCACTGAGTGAATAATTTATGTGTACAAAGAAAAGATAGCGTTGAATTCTTCTTAAAGAGAAGTTGATATTTGCTTATGAATCTGTTTGTACTGGTCTTCGTATCTGTGTATTTTTCTGCTATACAACTGCATTTTATTTCGAAACGACAAACACTGTTATCGTAATTTCATTAAAAACTACACTTTCGCATGCTCAAATTATAAAAAAAATTATAATAATTAAAAATAATTCAGAATATGTTTTTTGTAATCTTTTGAAAATTAGTTCTACATCTGCAAATATTATAAGGTTTTTGTTAATTTGCTATGTGGGTGAAAATTATTGTATTTCGCCTTAAAATATTTCACCTTTCAGAAAGAATTTACTAGCATTTTTAGTATAACATCGTGAAAAGTGTTTGCTTTGCAGTTTTTCTATCATTTAGCTGGATGGAGTTTTTTCACGGCGTGCTTCGACCGTTCGGTTCGTGGCAGCTTACATATTAGCTTAATAGAGGATTATACTTATCTGGTTATTGCTATGTTGATACTGAACTATTTGTTGCGAATACAAGTGTTGATTTTTGTGTGAAGTTTGGTAAAAAATTATATGCGAGGTTTTAGAAGATTTGATAAAAAAATACGTGCAGAGCGTATGTCAGAAACTATTACATTGTTACATGATATGAATATTATGAAGACAAGTACATTTTAGCATATGTGCATGCAAAATACTATGATCGAAAGCTTTCATATACTACATCAGATTCTCCTTGAGAAAACGTGTGATTTATTAGTGAGTATTACAATAAGCATAATGAGAACATTCTATTTTTAAATCCATCTAAATTATTTAAATAATTACTAATTGTGTGTTGTAAGCGATTATGTCTTTCGCCTACTGAAAAAAAAATTTTTTGATGTTTTCTTTAACCGAGCAATGTAAAATCTTAATTTTTATAACTATGGTCTTTCTTTCTCAATCATCTCTAATTTTCAAAGAAATATTGAAAAGTATTGAAAATTTATTGAAATTAACTTTAAATACAGTGTAAAAAGTTAAAAGTTATTTCGGGTGACATTAAGTTCCTGTACTTGAGTTTAAAACAATGATTTGATATTATAATTGCACAATTGCAGGTTCCATTCTTTGTGAACGAACTAACCGTATGAAATTTACCCATATATATCGTAAACATGAGCAAGCTCTCTTTAAAAAATCTTTAAGAAGAACATACCTTCTTTGAAAGATATCCCTCACGCGCTTTGTCTGAATTGAATCAACTAATCATTATTTAGAATATTATTCTCTTAAATCACACACGCGCACAAACGATATAAGATGATCAATGAATTGTAGACGCTAAGAAATTTGACGTCAGAAATTTTTTTGAAAAATTTTTAGAAGTGAAAACTTAACAGAAACGATGGAAAATCTAGGGAAAAGTTACAAATGAAAAGTAGAGATTCACATAAATATAATTAAAAGTAATACGCTATTTATCCGATCCCATAATATCTCAGAAGCACTGATGGTACTTTCGTTGCAAATCATATAACTTTATGGGTTTCGTCTCTTCTGTTTTTTAGAAGACCACATGCATAGATTTTTGAACTTCGCTGAGTAATCGCAGGACTATTCTAAATGATCACAATAGTGAGTAATTCTTGGTTGGTAATAGCGATTCTTTACTTAAGTGAAACGAGCCATTCCTGCAGCTTAAGTTGGAGGCGTCGTCATGTTGGATTATCTAAAGAAAATTTTTTATTATGTCAAAGAACATATTCTGCAATATACCTTAGTCATTTACAGATCTTTTTTGTAGATTATTTGGCTAATAAGTCTGTTTTAACAAATGTTGGAACGAATGTTGGAAGAGGCACGCATTTTAAATTTCGTCATTTTATGTGCAAGCTGGATATGTTTAATAAGAGTTTGCTTACTGAATATTTCAAAATTTGTACGTCTGCACATCATTCTTTGATTTAGTTGAATTTAATCAAGGCATCTTGTTGTCAGTATATCATCAGCCTGTGATTCCTGTTAAGGTTCATTTACGTCTACAGAACTTTGAGCCCCCAAAACGCGCGCGAACTTGACAACTTCACTTAACAGCCTTTTTATGAAGTTCATGAAATTTTTAGTAACATTATCGCGTAGGTTATTTTTATTTCATTTATTCAATAAATGCATAGATGCTCAATTTTATCTCAGGAAAGATGAGTATCTGTCTTTTTATGTAGAGTAACCGTCAAATTCATACGTGTTTCTTAAACACAAAATTTCGCTAGTGTAAATAGGCTCTTGAGACATAAAAGAAGATTTAGTAATTAAAATTCTATGAGATAAGATTTAGTTCACACTATATTACGCCACGTTTATGACTGACAGTTGTTATGCCGTTTGCATTATTAGTCTAGGATATGTTTTAAAATGCCAGTCGGTTTCAATCGCATCAAATGTCTTTTGTGTGATTAGAACATCATATTTATTTTTGATGATTGAATTCATGAGCACTTGGTTATAAATGGTACTATATGAAAGCTTTTGATCTCTTTTGTATCAGTGCATAATGCAGCATCTTTTTATAGATTACGCTGCAATTCTGTTTCAATAAATTATGATACGATCTTTGTTCTTTCAGTCAGTTTCAGGACAGGTTTAATCAAAACGTCTTTTTGCATTTAACGTGAGTGTTAAAACAACGTGACTATTTTTGATCCCATTTTTTTAGTTTTTTATGTTTTGATGGAATATTTATTTGTTTATTTACTTTGGTAGAATTGTTTTTGTAGGAGGTATATTAGTTTGTTGCATTTTGTATATTTTTTGGAATTTCCTTAACTATACTCAAAATAATAAAAAAAAAAATACTTTGAATGTAAATAATGTGTAAAAAATTTGCATTTTGTAATGTTAGTAGTCACTTATGGGAAACATATATGGAATTAAATTTAGCTCCCTGGTGATTTTCAGAATCAAAGTTACTTTTTTAATAATTTTTATTCAGAAATGCAACACTTTGTTGGCATACAGTGTAATAATATTTTTTATTAATTTAGCCTGAATAATTAGATTGCCAATTAATGCGAATTTCATTGTACCAAAATTGAATTACACTGTGATCTTTTAAGCATAATTTAAAACTGAATTTTTATCGAATTTTTCAAAGTTTCGAAACAAAATTGGAAGTTTATCAAATACACCGACCTTAGAATAAGTCTAAAGGAAGTGTGAAACAGCAAAATATTTAAGGGAACCGCTAATCGGTGTTCCTAAGACAAAGTGCTTATCATCTGATATGTGCGTCTTTTGTTTTGGGCCTTAATGACGTCATTAGTAAGTAACCTATTTGTGGCCGAAAGAGGTTTTCTTATTTGCAGATAAAATCCCCACCCTTGCAATAACTTCCTATAAGAACACGTGCTTCTGCAGATTTACTGACATCTTAGTCGCATGTGCCTTTCCCGTCGGCTTCTAGTATGTGTCTCTAATTTAATTCTTTGACCACAATTAATGTCATCTATTTGTCCCTAATAACTGGGATTTTAAAACTTGATATGTGGGAATGACTCGTTGTCTCCTCTACTGGGCAACCGTATAGTAATTCCCTGGTTTCGTGATCAAGTGATCGTAAGCGAAACTGGATCAAAAAAGAATTGTCTATCTATGTGAAGAGTGCTCACTCGCGGTCATCGAAGAGAGGTCACATTAAATTCCAGAGTAAAGCAAAAGGCCTCTTTCCTGCGATCCCTTACGTTTCGACGTGGAATAAGCAAAGATAACGAGATCCGTTGGCCACTCATAATTGCAAAATTGAAGACAGGCACTTGTTGAAGTTAGTAGTCGCATTTAGTTCTCTCTACCTCCATTATGCTTTTAATGGAGTTGGGCATCTTCAGTGCTGTTTTGATTCGGAAACAACGAACTTTCTGCTGGATCTAACAACTTCTTGTTTTGTTTCATAATTATACTTCATACTGTTATGAACTCTAATTTCTCTTCCTAATCATGTATAAGCTAAAACGATATTCAGGATTTGAAAAAGAAGAAAGAGGACTAGGTAATTCTTTCTCAGACTTTAGAAGTAAAATCTTGAATCATCTCCAAGAGATTTTATTTCCTTTACTTAAATTAAAAATCAGTCCGCCATTTCCTTCAAAATATTCGTTTCACTTTATCGCGGTTGTTTTATTCACCATATATAGATTCTTTGTTATGTGGTTAAAGAACAAACAAATTCATGTTACACGACGTCGAAACGTACGGTTCGCACTTTCATTGTTAAATTCTTAAAATTTTATTCCTATTCGAGGACCTTCTACGGTCCGCGAGAAGAGTCGTGAACTTTACGCTACATATTTTCCACGCTTTGTACGAAAAGCTTGCTAAAGAAAATATCTGACTCTATGCGTTTATAGAAAGTATCTAAGACAGAAAAAGAGATAGCTAATGTGGATATAAGAAATATCTCATCGGAAGCCGTCCGTTGGTTCTTATTGGATGAAGCTCCTAGATAGATAGATATATAGATATAGAGAGAAATGTGTTAACGTGTACGCCTATCAAAGCGATTTATTTATTAAATTTTTTCAACAAGATTACCATAAATTTAACAAGGAAAGCTTAACATTATCTCCAGGAGTCGTATTATTTTTGAGATGTTAATTTAAATTCGCATTATAATGAAAGGGGGAGGGTCATCGCATAAAATTATTCCTCTAAACACATAACGTACTAGAGATAAAAATCATGATGCTTGCGATGATCAGTCAACCGTATGGGATCGAGGCGTGTTTCATTTTCTTGCGAATATATTCATCTGAACTTCTGAAAATAGTACTACGGATGTTATTTGTTTTGCTATGTGTTAATAACAGAGACAGTGTTAAAGAATATGTAATGGAGTCGACCCCATATTACATATATATTCCTGAAATAATCTAGCGAATTGGTGCTGAAAAGGAAGGAAATATTCGTTAAACTTTATCAATTATAATAGGAATTTTATGGTAATCAGTTGAATATGTTCAATAAATCTTTTCACAGTTTAATGATAGGTATTCAATATATGTGTTTCTATGTTCGTGTTTGTATTTACATGAATGCGTGTTTTTATATTAAATATTAATTATGTGTCTTCTCACTAACGTCGTTTCGAATGACTGGAAACTGGATGATTCCAGACCATCAGAGGCTCGATGGGAGCGGCGACTCGAGTCTCAGTTATACTTTGTTAGGTACTCATCTGAAAGGAGTGTCTCATACTGGGCTGGAGCTCTTTTTGGTTGGAGAAGAGGGCTCGGCCTCATTGTTGTTCCCATTTGGTGGCTGCTTTTGATCAGTGCTGCTCCTCTGCCTGCGCAACTTCGCCGCCATGGCAGGCCCGGGAAGCAGACTGGCAGGCCCTGAAGGGTCCAAAAGCCCAGGGGATTCGCTCATATCTCGAAGCACTTTTATCTTCTGTATCATTTCCCTTATCTCATAACGGAGGATTCCAAGGAAGCAAAGCTTAAGAAATGCGATAACGCAGAAACCAAGTACGGATAGAAGGTCTGCTGCATGCTGCAGCCACCGGTGTACAGCCTCATAGCAGCCGGGAAGGTGAATAAGGGCCGGGTTACGGTCGGATTCCACACATGATACATTGAGGGGCTCGGGCTCTCTGAAGGAAGGCCGCTGCTGCATACGGCAACAGCTCCGTGGCACCACTTGCTTGCGTATAGTAGAGTCCTGCTTCTGTAGCCACTCACTGCTTCCGAAGTCCTTCGGCCCTTCTACCCCGCAGCACTCCGTTTCACTTTGTAGTCGATCCCAGAGCAGCTGGAACTCAAGATCGACCCCATATTGCTCATTCAGGCGGGAGCGTAATTCTTCCTTCAAACTGCCGGAAAGGTAATGGAAGCGGAAGAGCCACACAACTCCCAGAACAACGTCTCCAAAAAGTAGGAGAAGCATTAGTGTCCAATACACGTTGAGGAGCCGTTCATTCATGCGAAGAGCCCCTACGCAGCCGATGGCTTGCAGGATACCTCCTTGAAGAGCAAGGGCCAGGTAAGCATAAAGTAAACTCGGGTGGCGGAGATCAATGGAGGGAAACAGCGACATCCTGAAGTCGGAGACAATCCACGCTGCTGTTGATACAAAGGCCACCACACTCACGAGCAAAACCAGGTTGCATGAGTAGATCCACAGCCTGTAATACCTATGAGGGAGAAAGACATTTTGGTAATATATATTATGTATACAGATGACTATAAGTAGCATAACGTAGATTATGCAGCATATGCTTAGATCAAATTAATAAGTGCATGTATTAATAAGTGCATTTTACTTATTTTGTCTAAAATTTAAATCTTTTGCATTTAAAAATGTGTAGTGCATGAAAAAGACTTCTATATAGGCTATTCTTAATTGGGAAAATCTCGTCACCCTTAATTTTCTTTCTGGTAAAGGTTGTATCGAGTTGGTACTCGACTGTATTTTTTTAATCTGTTGGCATCTCGAAATGCAAAGTCAAACAAATTTTAAGTTTTTAATACTTCGAGCGCCATCTACATGTTCAACAAAGTGGATAGCACTGGTAGTGATGCTGATTACAAAGGTTAGAGCAAACATATGCCGCTGGACTTCGTGGACTTTTAACAGGGTTATAATTCGTTGATCCCTTGATTGTTGTGTTATTACTGTTATAAAGATTTTTTATCATAATTATGATTGATTAGCTAAGCACTAATAAAACTGCTAAGCGACAGAGACTGAAGAATGATAACGATCGCACTTGGTTTTAGTGCATTTAGTGGAGATAATTTTTCATCATAGCAGAATGACCTTGAGACTTCAAACAATGGAAATTATTCGCATTAAATCTGATACTGAGAGATATTTTTTTCTTTTCTTTTACGCCACTGACCAGGCTTCTGCCCTAAGGTCATACTAATCAGAATGACGCCTGATCAGCGGAAAGAAAGCCAGATCAGCGGCATTTATTATGTTCAATAGCAAAATTATAGTTACTTATCAACTTTTTTTGTTGAAAGACATCTTTGCTCGTATGTACGACATATATGTTCATAATAATAGAATATACATAATCAAATATTATGGTATCAATGCTAAGAAAGTAAGTATAATGCTAAAAAAAATTATAATTTCTTGTTATGACATAAGCAATACAAATTTTAGTAAACATAGCTATTGCACGTTTGGCTGCCTTCAAAACCTATAAGTTCAATTGAGCTGTAGAATAAAGCAATCAAGTTTATCTATAAAATTATTAATTCATATGCTACTACATTAAATTAATGTCAGAATAATGCATATATCATAAACAATAAAATAGATGCTTCACAATGTTCAAAGTGCATAAAAAATAAAGACGCGTCTCAGTGTTCCAAGTTCATGATATGATTCGTAAGTTTGCATAAATGAAAAATATTGTTATTTAAAACTGTTCGACTGTTCTAATTTGTGTATTCCATCAGTTGTCTGTTCACACATTTCTGGAATGTCTTTAGTACACAGGATCATTGTCCGCAATATAGGTAAAATATATCTTAGATATTATGAGATCACCAAATCGTCCCTTAGTAAAAGGTTGAGCTGCACCAATATAGGCAGCTGAAGGCGACGAGATAAACTATTTGTCTCGTTGGCGCCTGATAACCCTACGAAACATTTCAAGTTATTTATAGATGAAAATTTTTGATGATCGTGGCAGAAGATAGATGAACAAATATGTTGCTCTTTTGCTGGAGCGAAGTTGAACGTCTGCTCTAGAAAAAGATCTTGGGGGGGGGATTTACACGGTTGCATGTGAAAGTCGTATAAGACTCAGCAATACCACACGCAAACTACCACATTTCTTAGAAAGACGCTATCGTAGAACCAAACTGAAGGATGTATCTCCTTGTGTAATGACTTAAAAACATATTTCAAATTCAGTATTGCGCGTTGTTTAGCCAGTCAAAAAGAATACAGGAAATCTTAAACGACTGTGGAACGCTAATCATTAATGCTTGGCCTCCAGTACGATTAAAGACAGCTATCGATTTTAAGATGGTAACCTAGCTACTTCAGCGAAATTCTTGGAAATAATATGGACATAGGAGAATTGTGTAATTTTTTGCAAAATCTAGTAAGCCTGTACACAACTTTCATATAAGCTCTGTCTACTTGGCACTGCATGTATGGCGAAACTGTAGGTAAGGAGAAAAAATAGCAGGTAAACTCATTTAAATAACTCATAAAAATAAATAACAGGCATACTCATATAAAGACCCACTTTTTTTCTTCTCTCTTAAGATACTATTTTATAAATATTTGCCCTATACGTTTTAATTATATTGTCGACTTAATTACATTTATGGGTCCTTTTTTAATCGAGTAATATTTATAAATTTTTTAGAATTTGATAGAAAGTTAATGACATCAAAATGCTTAGCATATTAAATGGAATATAACAGCAAAAATGAGTTGTTAACGAAACTTATATAGGCATATTTAAGTGTACTTTCTCCTATATCAAATACGAAAAGAATATTAAAATATATCTAATAAAGTTCTGCTTAGAAATGAATAAGCAAATAAATAAATTTATGATTTAATAAGAAACTTCAGTATCCTTAATTAAGCTGCATTTGGAAACTGCATTGCTAAATGTTTTGATTATAGTGAGGTTTTTAAGTTAGAAGCAATCCCAAAGTGAATATTTTTCGTTAATTAATGTTAGTTAATTTTTGTAGGCAGCTCATTAAACAATTGCCTGATTTTCATATCTTACATGGATTTATTTTAGAGAAGTGTAATCTATAGGCACATTAAGAAAATATGTATAAAAAAGAAAACATTGAATTCACCATAATTAATTAAATTATTACCGTAGTTAAATTATTATTTCTGATGATTTTTGAATACTCCATTACGTGAAATCCTTTTAATTGTTGATAAAATACTGTTGTTGATTATATAATATGCAATCACCGACTGAATCTGTTAATGCTGTATTAATTTTCTTTGCAAAATGTGAATTTCTTATTATAAATAATTTCTATCTATAATAAATATCAGTATGAAAATAGTCTTTTAATATCTTATATATTTTAGAATAATTGAGAAAATTAAACTTTATTTTTCCTTCATTACAGGTGCTTCAAGCTTGTTTATAATTTTTATTACCGTTAACTCTATTGCTTTTCATGCGCGTTTATTGCTTTATTCAAGTAAATCAATAGACGATGAATGCTAATTAAGTAATTATTAATAAATAATTTAGGCAAATTTACGACAATTAAAACTAAGCTTCAGTCTTTGTTTGAAACGTGGACTGTAATTTTTATAGAGCCGTTTCATTAAATTTCAAGTTAATTAAAAAATTTTCATTTTGTTATAGTTTCTGTAATTAATATAAATTATAAAGGACTAGACAAATTGTGATACTAGCTTCCCGCGATTACTCGTTTCTGGCAAGAGGAAACAAATCTGTCATGTTACTGGTTCGTAGTTCAAGGGATAAGCAACTGATAATTCTAACGTTCAAAAAGCAAACTGTCTTATATGCGATGTGTCTCATAACCTATTTCTCTTAAACAAGTAGCTGAGAATTTCGAAAGACTAATTTAAAAATGAATCGCTATAAATTTTTCCTCTGTCATAGTTTTAATGACGTGACAAATTAAAAAATATGTAACATTTTTATTTATTTATTTTTTTCTGCAGTATCCAATGTTTTACAGAAATTTTAAATTTCATTAAGAAAGTGGTGTAGGGAATCATCTCCGTGCAATTAAAATGATTAGATAATATTAATTAAATTTTCACTGGATAGATATGCTCAAAATCGTTTTTAAAAATATTTTTTACCGAAATCCAATTCTTATACTATCTCTGAAATCAACATTTTCACCGTTTTTTACATAAGTGGAAAATGGCTTAAGTCTTATGGTTTTGGCAATACTTTTATTGTTAATTATTTAAATTTTCTGCTTTTTAACTAAAAGATGACAAAAAAGCTTACCAAAATTGTTATTTGATTCCTTGTTTAAACTGAAAACTTGGGACTGTGTCTAACTGTTTAAGATATACTTCAGTCGCTCAGTCTTTTTTTAACATGTTATACACTGTTATTTGAAAATGTATACAGGAAGAAACTATCGTGTTTCTATATTCCAAAAGCCTTAAGTAGGATTTTTTAAACATTCAATCAATGCTGTTTAACTCTGATTTTAAAATGATGTTACTTAACGCTAACTCATGCCTCTGCGATTAAGTTTCTCAGAATTACTTAGAACTTTGATGATGTGAACTAAAATTTAAAAATGAGACTTAACTATTTAAGATAAATTCTATATGTTATTTTTCGTCTCTGTTTGTTAATAAAGGGTATTGCATTTTACCTGTAAATATTCTTCTTTTGAATAATTTCTGAACATTTACCTCTGCGTTGAAAACTCCCATTTCGGTTTTGAGGAAGTTGTATTCATAATGACTCCAAAAAAAGATATATATATATGAGCTGTAGAATTTGAAGTTGTTATTTTACTTAACGAAACAAATTTAGTTGTAGTTCGCTTACCTCATAGCTCTGTGGAGGAACATGGAGGCCGTTGGTGAGACTCCTCAGAAGGAATGAAGATTTTCCCGAAGCCTCTGTGACACAGAATTATTCTATAATGTTTTGATTTAGTTAGCCCCTGTATTTGAAGACGACGGGGGCATGGTGCCTTCTGCTCTTAACCTAAAACAAGAATAATATGTAAGGTACCATTCTGAGTTTAGCGAAAATTATGTGCAATATTATTTAAAATGATTGACTCGATCTCAGTTTCGATGTTGAATCTGTTAATGCTGTATTAATTTGACATGCATAAAGTAAAAGCAAATGAAGGCAATCTTCGAATCTCAGAGCGTCAGGAAATTGTTGCCATAAAATATCATATTTTCTTAATTTTCTTAACGGAGGAATTTGTTTGGCATTGTGGGCTTTTCCCCAGAGTATGGTATTTCACACCTTTTCTTCTGTCACGAAATCTTACGTCTCGCGAATTTTCCACGTAAGAGTAAAGGTGATGTATTCGTGCGACATTTAGCCATACACTTGTATTATTTCAGAAACAGAATTGTTACTTCTGTGAAGACGGTGATAAAAGATATAGCTGGAGCAAGCATGACACGAATCGGATGTAGTTTTTGTAAAAGATGATACTTATAAGTAAAACATTTTATATGCTGTAGAACCCCGGATCACAAACGCCTCACATTACAAGTATATTAATTACCTGAACGAAAAACGCATCTGATGCTTTACAATGTTTCGAATTACAAACATTTAAATTGGCAATATATGATTTTCAAAAGTGTTTTGAGGTAACCCTGATACAGAATTTACACTCAGGGATTTCTGGAAACATTATTTTAATATGTTCCGTTGCTTAACTCCTGTCAACAAAGCCTGAAAGCAAAAATATTACAGGAGCATGAATTTGGTTTGGAGAAAATAATGGCTAGATGGGGTTGCAGACAGAGACTTTCAGCGCTTTGGCACTCACGAATTTTCTTATTATTAAGGAGGCTGTGTCTCTAGACAAAATTACGGACTCTGAAGTTAATGAACACGTGGAAAAGTTACTAGAGGACCATAAAAATAACTCAATAAGAAAGAACCACAACTTCAGAAGTAGTGACAAAAGGCGCTTATAGAAGAAATGTTTTCAGAAGGGAAAAAATTATTTTTATTATCTGATGCGCGAAATTTGTACAAAAAGAGGTAGAGGCAAAATTTTCACGTAACAATAAAAACCTGATATTTTTTGGGGAAGAGAATCTTGCATCCAAACAGTAACCTTCCTCACCATTTTCCATTAAAGCAGTTCACTCTCATTCGTGCAAATATTTTAAAATTGAATTAAGTTTTCGTTATTGATTTCCTTTGGTTTTTGGATCATGAACTTGTGCACAAAGGACTGTGGTAAGTTGAAAAGAGTCATCATCTGTGGTCCAGGAACTAATTAATTCATTTTAAGTTAATTCCTATGGAGGAAATTGTTTCGGGTTTCAAACATTTCGGTTAACTAACAGGAACAAATTAAACTTGTGAACCGAGATTTCACTGTATTACTTGTCACTGCGTTTGTGAATTTAGGAAACGAAACCATCTGAAATCAAAGTAGTCCTTTTATATCCATCCATTATTTACATTTCTTCAAAATACAAAGAATAACCTTGTATTCTGAAAGAATATAGATGGATATGAAATGTATTACGGTATAAGAGTTGACGAAATTAAATTGTAGCAAAGTTAAAACACTCTGTTGCCTTTTTAATAAGGGCATAAACTGCATCATGAAACATTAAAGATGTAGAGAAATTGATGGTGCATAAGTTGTAGATTATTAATTTCTTTAAAAAATGGAAGATGAATTTCAAGTGCAGTTTAAGCATTGCTATGCAAGAGGAAGCCTGGATAATGCTGTAAAGTAAAAATTGTGAGCTTTTGAAATTAAATTTGGATGTTTCTTTAATTTAGGAGTACAGTCGATAAATTTTTGTTTAATTATTGCGGAAGGAAATCCTTAAAGGCTTTATAAAATTCAGGATAAGTAGCCGAAGCTTCGAGTTCGCCAGACTGTTTTCTGAAATTCTGCGCACGTAGTAAAGTTACCATTTTTAATCGATAGTTTGAGTCTGACTCTGAATCTGTTATTTTTCATACTGGCGGAAGAGGTTTTCCGTCAATTTCTAGTTTTCTTTTGATTAATTTCAGAGTATAAAAGAGTTACATCTCAGAGTATTCCGAGTAAAAAATTGCTGATAGAAATCGACCCTTCAAACTGGTTTTACAAGCACACATTACTAAAGAAAGTTCTAAATTGACTTTATTGTCATATAACTGCTCAGTTAAGACATTATCATCCGAATGATCATTTCAGAATATATTATGCTTTTGTATCTGCAAGTGCAATTTTTATGCAGAATGTTCCTGAAATTTCAGAACTGAATTTTAAAACACCAAATTATCATATGCCTTGTGGGAAGCATTTTACAAAATGATGTGGCAACAGGATTTAAGAATTTAAAGTCACATCATTTGTAGAAAGGAATAACCCGTCCCATGTGTGTTTCGAATTTTTAATCAGCGCTTAGTATTTATATTTTCACAGCGAAATTATTAAACATAAACTCGATCTGAAGCAGCTTAAATCGTCGTGAAATCTTTCACGAATTACGAGTGGATTAACTTCGTGTGGGAATACCTGGAGAATCATTTTGATGCAAACAAGGTATATAAATCCTCTGGAAATAGTTGTCTGTCATTTGCTATGCAGAAAGAAACCGAGCCATCTGTGTCAGATGCATTGGGAGGAGGATATTTACAAAAATATCTTTTAGTGAAACTGCATGAAAGCTATTTCAGCACTTTTTATATTTCAGCATTACTTTCTTAAAAGTTTTACAGTACATGATCTAAATATAATTCATTTTATATAGGAAACAGGAAATAAGGTTGTCGGTGTGGAATGACTGTATGGATTCATAAGAGAATTTAAAATTGTTTCCAAAAGTGCAATAAAATTCTATGGGATTATTTAAAACTGAAGAATTTATTGAACTTTCAAAGCTGTTGTTTTAATTACATTTTTTTAAAAATAAATGTTGATTCTGATTAGAAGAAACCTTGAAAATCTGACGCAATCAATGAATTTAGTTTTTAAATAGCAGTCTTTTTATGCGATTCGCCCCCTCAGAAGAACAGCTGGAATTATCACTCGGAGGTTGAGCAGAGCAGATAATCGTGTTCTCAAAAATCGCAAATGAGCACTGAATTTTTTTCTGGAAGTGAATTATCAATTTTTTATACTACCGGCAAATATGCTACATTTGTTTTGCATCAGATCAAAATAAATAGTTATTATGTTTGATGCTAACTCGTTGAATTATTTTTTATACTGTTTCATTCTTTTATATTCATTCCAGTATTTATTTTATGAGACGATAAGCATTTAATATTATCTAAAGTTCTAATTCAAGTCTTGAAATTATGTAGAAATTCCGCTTTTGTGAATGAAATGTATGAAAATTCCGAAGTTTATTAGGAAGATGTTTTGTAACACAACTTCAACATTAAATGTTTTCGATATTTTTAACTGTCATACTGAAATCCGGTGAAGTTATCAACTTGATTTTTTATAAAACGATATGTCCCATTTCAAGCGTTTCCGCTGCAGGCTTTTTGAAAGTGGCAACAGAAATTAGTCTGCTTCAGGCTATTCTTTCTTTCTTTAAGTGACAACATTAAAAATCACGCCTTTTCAACCTTTCTTTTTACTTTCTTCATTCACTGTAGTTAGTGGGGAGACTTTTGACGATGGAGCAAGTGTTCAAGTAAAGATACTGGAAGAAATGATAACATGTACTTTACTATAATTTACTATACCATAAAATAATTTTCATGTTTACTGTCTAAGGCAGGGTTTCTTAAACTGTCGGTCGCGATCCCCAAGGAGGTCGCGGGACCTGCAGCAGGGGGTCGCCAAAAATTTTAGCAATTTTGATATTTCTTTAACTTATAATAATTTTACAATTACCAAATATTTTTATACAATGTATCTGAAAATAGATAAAGATAAGACAAAACAGACAAAGAAAAAAACGAAAATGTTTTGACGGATTTCTTTTTATAATATTAACGTTCATTTTCCTTGCTTTGCACGTAACGCTGTCATTTCGTTTGTTACTTATTTAAAATTTTCACATTGTTCTATGTCTTAAAATTAGAAATTTAAGTCAACGACCTTAAACTGCAATAGTATATTACAGTACAAGTGAAAAAATTGACAGTTCACTCACGCGTGTGTCGGACTTGCGCAATACTTTTGTGGTTCCACAAAATTTTTGTAAATACTATGGGGTCCTGGGGGTCGCGAAAAAATCTCAGTGATAAAAAGGGGTCGCGACTGAAAATCTTGTAAGAAACTCTGGTTGCATATAAACGCAAATGACAATAATCTTCTATCTAAACAGTGTTTGAACATGAAGGGCGGAACATCATTATGATTTAACTTGATACGTATTTCACTGTTACGTCACAGTCAAGCCTGATCGCGCTAAAATGGGTGCCATTGTTACCTGCCTGCCAGTGCAATGCTGATATGGGATGATTTGAAGGGGGGAAACCTCATCTGAACTGTTTGAAGTTGGACCTGGGACATGGGAAGCGGGACTTTTACATAAAGGCGTTGCAGCTGCAAGTGGCATAAGCCGAATTTCATTGCATGGTACGTCAGAGACTCTAGCGTAAGAATTTTGTATAAATGTTCTAGCTGTTCAGCTTTATCCCAACGTGGCATAGGAACCGACCAATAACAGTGAAGCAAACACGTACTAACATTCGATCGACGGTTTCGCTGGACTTTCACAAGGGTAGGGAAAGGGAAAAGCGGACGGAGCACCAGAACTTCGTCAGTGACTTTTACCGGCATTTCTCCGACGCACTACTGTGCTCATTGGGCATTCGGTTGGCCCGCATCAGAGGCCAGCCTAACAAGACATTTACATAGCTACTTTACATTACCGTGTTATTGTAATCATATTGAATATACGATTACAATAACACGGTATACAATTATTATAATGAACTTAATCGATTACTGGACATTCACATGGGCGCAGCTTTATCTTTCCTGACTGGCTGTGGCTTAAAACTTGTTCTAGGTTTGCCATAGGTGTGAACGCAGTTTT